GTTTAATGCCAAATAGAAACGTATTCAATGTAATACTTCGTCCTATTGTAAGAAGTTTAGTCCAATATCCCTTCAGCGTTTTACAAATAACCTACATGATCTATGAATTTATCGTTCTACAGCGGTTAATTATTGTTAGAAAGATATTTTTCTACTCAGTTTAAAAAAAATGTATAAAAAGTATTTGCTTTAACAGAAACAAATCATAGAGGTTGATAGCTTTTTTGGCATTTCCTTTTATATACAGGTCTTTCATGTTAAAGGTCGTCACCGTAGTGTCTTTGTAAATTTTATCACATTATTAAAAAGAACTAACGAGTCGTTATTATGGTGAACTTCATTCTATATCTATTTTAGCTCCTATATTTCCCTTAAAAGGTGGGTTTAGTAAATGGACGGATAAGCGATATTTATGGTTTTGGTTTTTGTTTTTTGTATCTCATTTTGATCTCATGAGTAAATATACTTATCTCGAACTTATATCTTTGAAAAAAATTATAAATGTAATTGCAATTCCTTATTTTGAAGTCTTCATGAAAAATGATTGACTTTGTTTCAAGAAATGGATTTTGCGTTGTTTATGTTTATAAACAGCTATCTGAAATCCACGGCTTATTGAAAAAATATTTTTTATTTCTCTAAAATATAACAACGGCTTTTTCGACCGAAACAAAATGTATTCTCTGTGATTTATCTGAATACGTAAGATGTCGTTAACTTACAAAATACAATACATAGTAATGTTCGTTCTTACTGAGAAAGTAGCTGATGTATTTGCTGTGTCAGCACATAGTCTAAACAAATTAAATGAATATTGGTTACATAACTGTATTGTTTCTCATAGTATCAGATCACAGTTTTCATAACCCTAGTTTTCTCATGAACAAATGTTACGTCACTGGTTCTTGAATTATTTCAAACATTGATATTAAAAACATCTTTTTATTTTTAAGTGTGGGGGCTTCACAACATTTTGATTTTTCAATTCAATCTTCTTAAATTTCAAAAATGAGTTAATTTCAGAAATGAAAAAGAGTGACAATGAAAAAGCATTTCATTTATTGGATGTACTGTCATATGTTTTCACATTAGTTAATACTTTTAATACGTTTTGTTTAAATGAAATTTTTCGTTTAAAACCGATTTGTGTAGAAGTATCTTGAAGTTATATTAATCATTATGAAGTGCTTGATAATTTTTATTAAACAAAATGACACATTTGGCAGAACAGTGGCACTTGATTTAAATATAATTAAGCTTTGTTCTGCTGTTTTTAATCCTGATCTTTATAACTTTAAGGGACACTTGAAAAAATATTTGTATGAATTAAAGGTAAGTTTATTTATTGTTTTACTTTGGTGTGCTTTGTTAATGTCAGGTTTTTATCAAGTTCCCTTGGTATCTTAAAACAACTTTAACACGCACGTGACAGTTTTCACTAGTCTACCTTTTATATATTGTCATTTTTGACAGTTTATCAAAATTTTGCTTTTCGATAATGATAAATGAATGAATATTCAATTTTAAGAGATAAATATCGTACTCCATGCCTTTTAAACACGACATTCATATTCATTTTCAAAAGCATTTACATGTTTGAATTCTGTATTCAATGGGATTAAAGCGATTAATCTATTGTGAATACGTTTCTAAATACACCACCAAGTATTGTTTAACACTGTTTCTCTGTATCCCTCCAAGAGCTTAAAAGTACTAAAAGTGCACGTATGTTGATCGATTTATGTCAAACTTTATACAATCTTTTACAGGCTCTCATCAATATTAACAACTAATTGTATTGAGAGTAAACAAACCAAATACCTATTTTACATATTTTGTTTATTTCTGTAGAAACTGTACGTCTTTGTCGAGTGCTCTTTTATTTATGGTTTTACTGTTTCTGTAGAAACTTTTGATGACTTATTGAGTGATCAGGTCTGTTTTATTTGCTAGACATGTCATATAGAGCTTGTTGACAAAAGAGAAGTCTCTTACTTTTATATTAACCAGCAACGCCATTTCTCTGTTAAGTACTGCATTGATACTTCTGAAACAATAAAGATAAGTCAAAAGTGTATTAAGTGTTATATATGTTAAGTTGATTAATAGGTACGAACAGGTATGATAGTCTTTAAAGCAAGGTGTGCTCGTAACGTTTGGATATAATTTTGAAAGCCAACAAGAAATGTTATAACTGCAGTTCCTGAAGAAACAAGGTTGGTAGGCTTTATTTGTTTTATATTGTGTAGCTTTTATTAAAGCCCCTAGTGTGTTTTGACAACATATGTTACCGTATTGTGCTTCTGAAAGAATGTGTGCCCCTAGTGTGCTTTTGGTGATATGTGTCCTTGGTTTTTTTATGACCTTTTATAATGATCGTTTCGTGCTTCTGGCAATATGTGTTCTTAGTGTGCTTATGGCGTTATGTATAATAGTATCATCCTTCTGACAATATACCAGTGTGTGCTTCTGGCAATATGTGCGTCCCTAGTATGTTCACGACATATCGAGGATATTGAAACTTGGAACTACTATTCAGTTAAACCTTAAATGTATGAAAATTTTTAAGCAACTGTTGCAGTTTTAATGAATAACTTAGGTGCTTGTATGCAATATAAATTCCTGCCATAGGTACTACTCCATGCATCTTTTATTTCTGGGGACCACAACTATCTTATGTACCATCCAATGTATGCTGATATGAGATCTGATTTCTCTTTAAGATAAACAAAAAACAATCGATATTTGAGAATTTGTCATAGGAACTATTAAAGGTATAACACATTCATTGTTTAAATCTTTGTACAGAAGTCAGTATAAAATTGGTATCAGTAAACTGCAACTTATTAAAACTAATTCGGGAAGAGAGACTTTCACCAAGTCTAAAAAGATAGTTTGCGTAGTACCAGTATCATAATAATAAAATGTGTCCTTATTGTAATAATATTAGCGGTACCAATTTAACTGCACCAGATGCGCCTTTCGATAATAAATGCATCTCTGTGATGCACGAGGCCAAAATATTTGAAAATTCCAAACTTACTCAACAGTTGTAAGTAAATAATCTGGTTTTTTTTCAATCATAGTCTTCTCTTTGTTTGGAATACAGTGACATTTGTTCTCAACTATTTTTATGAGTTTGCACCAACTATATTACAAATTCGTTGTTGCTGACCTCAACATTGTTAGAGTGATTGTTCGTGACAGGGTTCATTTGAATACATTTCATTTATACAGCTGTCAAATTGGTCAAATGTGAACAACTGAAAAATTAATTTCACTCGTAATTAAAAAGGCTGAATGGATTTCACAAATCCCCTGAATCTGTTGGTAGGTTTATTACATATTTAAACAACCGATGTATTTGCTCTAAATGAAGGTCCACAATTCATCTCATGGGTAGTGGATCTAAACAACCAACTGATTTTCAATGTGTATTCAGAATGTCAAACTAATTGATTTTTATTTAAAAACCCTTATCTTAACTCGTAAACAAAGGACTTAAAATTGTTTGTACTTTCAATCAATTACAAGTAACTTTAATCTGTAGTGATTCTTTCTAAACGTCATCAACTTAATGACTTAAATATATAATTGGAAGGAAAGAATCAAGAAATTGTTTCCGCTAATCCTCGGAACAATGTCGGGTGGATTTTTCCATGGTTTGAAAACATCTTTGTTAAAGTTGATACGAAATAGTATTGATCACAATTGTAGATAACTGAGTGGTAAGGGCGAAAATAAGCTGAAGATTAACCAGTCAAATATTTTAAATTATTCAAGATAAGCCCAGGTCTGCAAGGGAGAGGCTTTACTTTAAGGATTATGTCCATGATGGAAGATACACTCTCGAGGTAAGAGAGGTCAAACGTTATCTAACACATATATTAGTTTTCCCTACAGAAATTGTTTTACAGAATTCTTTTAGTTTTACATTTTGACATTGGTTTTCCGTAACTGTTTTCGTGTTTCTCATTTCACCGACTTTAATAACAGTTTTCATATTCATAACTTTTTATTATCTATTTTTCACATTCATATTATTTTTATTTGTTTGATTATTACATAATGTTTCGTATTATTTCTTGTTGCTGCTATTGTTACTACAATTATCTTATTTCACAACATTATAGACTAAAAAATCAGATTTCTTGTGATTTTTAAGGTACCTGAAAGTATTTTTCTCCTATAACAAATACTCCGAAACTTTATATTTCTGTCCGCCAAAAAATATATCCTTAACACCCCTAAGTTAGCTCATCCTAGATGCCAGGATTCAAAATTTTGTACGCCAGATCCGCGTTTCATAAAACAGGAGACCTTATGTTTCGAATAATAAAAGCTCCATTGGTATTTGAACAATTTTACAGTAACCACATCATGGTAACTGAGAGGTAATAATATATTGGTACTTTGCCCCCCCTCCACACCCCTTTCAAAATCCTGGATCCGCATCTGATGTCTAAAATCGCGATCTGAACAGATTCAGGAAATTATAATAATACCTTCACTATCAGACATTTCTGCAAATGGTAAAATAATTTTTTTGAATGTTTTCTTATAAAGGAATGGTTAATTGGTGTCTTTTCGGGAACAGGATATGTTTCGGGTTAGATTTTAAATGTATCAATATTTTTATTTCATTTGAAGCAGACGTTAATTACTACTTAATAATTTGGATCTTAGCAAATAAAGTAATTGAATACCGGTATATGCTTGAGGATATGATGCAAAATGAATATTTTTTATTAATCACTTTATTTGAAGAAAAACGGATATCGGCTCTATGGAATATTATGGAAAAAGGATGTAACTTCGCTGACATAACAACAAAAGTAAAACAAACGTGTCTTTTGTTTCATTTACGTACCTTGAAATTGAATTTTTAAGTAAAGTCCTGGTTAAAAAACAAAACAAGGTTAGAATAAGATGGGCGGCACATGGTTTTTGTCTTTTATGTCTATCTTAATATCAATAAATGATCGTTCATTTCAAGTCTTTTAATTATATACATTTTATATTAGAAAAATAAATCAAAAACCAATTCCATATATTTATTATAGGATGCAAATCTATGTAGTTGCAATTTTGTTTTCATTTCTGAAATGCTGGAGTTATATTACGTAGAATTTTCCGATTAGTGATCTCACTGATTGTTGTCTTAGAAGTTATTTCCTGATGATCTTCCAAAATGCGAACGAAGAATGTACTCTACATCAAATATTCCAAATGTAATGGTAACATATTACATGTTGTAATATATAAAGAACAGTGTTGTTATGGAAACAACAATACATAATAGGTTATTTGCTAAGAAAAAAACACTCATTCATAACCGCTATTCATTATAAGTTGAATTCTGCAATTTCAAGCAATCATAGATCCCATATCTTAAATTCAAATAACATGATTGTCGTTACAAGCCAAAGCAATGCTTGACATTATGTGGCTTGTGTTGAAAACAATCAACCTACCTTTAATGCAAATAAGCCATCACTGGCTTCCGGTACCTCAGATCTGAGAAACAAGTCCACAATGCTTTCCAATTTCTATTTCATACATATTCTTTCATTATTCAAATTAACAATTCCAAAGGGGTTATTAATTGACCCCAAGTCCTTAAGCTCTTATTTGCACCTGATATTTTCTATAACATACACAAAACATTTTTTCAATGTTATACCTTTGCGTGGGAACAATTTATTGTTATTGTTATTTCTTTTAAATGTTTATAAATGTGTTTATTCTTTCTGTCCCGAATTAGTGAGTTTAATTTTTTTTTATCCAAAGCCTTAATGTAGAAAGAATATGTCAGTCAACTAGTTTAGGAGGATTCGCTGAAACATAAAAGAACAATTTTTACAAAAAATAGATGATTATTTCTCACTACGATTTATTGATCATGATCCAAGATAAAATATAAAAAGAATATATTATTTTTATTTCAGAATATCTGATTGTTATATCCACCCAAATACTAGTCAGAAAGGTTTTGTCTCGAGATTTGAACATAAAAACAAAAACTTTTCAGACTAGATATTAATTAGATAGGACTACCAACTAAAAAAGTCAATATGAATATCCAACTAAACAAAACCAAAACAGCAAAATCGTCAGAATGTTGATGTATAGATATCACTGTCTCTTTTTGGGAACGATATTTAATTATCGTTTAATATTTTAAATCCAAAGAAAATACCATGGAAGGACACCCGACTTAGTTTAATGCTCATATTTATTTGTTTTATTTTTTGACAAGCTGCTTATACTAAATGTACTGGATATACAGATTTGAATAGATCACCATGGACACGAAAGTTGTTCCTGTTGGTCCTCTCATCGAGTAAGATTTTATTTTAAAAAAGTAAACACTTTATTTTACGTACGTACATAAATCATTGTTTTTGTGTTCACAATTGCATTGTGTAATGCATTCTGGGTAATATCTTAAAAAGCGTTCACCAAAACGTTGTGATCGGCGAACAATGTTTTATACAATGAATACCATGAAAGTACTGTTATTATTGTATGAACAATGAAATTTACTTTGATCCTTTAGATTATATCATTCTAAAAAGGTATATTCCAAAAATGGCCCCTTTTCTTGTGTTTGAAACAGTTTTCTTATGTGACACGGGTCGAAACTGAATTAAGTTTCAGATTCAATATTCACTTTTACGAAATGTTCTTATTAATCATTGAGGGTATAAAAGTTTCCATGTTGGTTGTGTTTGCGTCTCTTTCTATCATTCATTAATTGTTAAATAAAAACTGGATCTCTGAAGAGTATTTTTTAACACAATTTCAAACTTAAAAATGTACCCTTACACTTTGGCAACTTCACTAAAGTTAATGAATGATAGAAAGAGACACACACAAAACCAACATGGAAACAAACTTTATACTCTCTCTATCTTCAATAATTAATAATGGCTAAATTAGAACATAGAGGTAAAATGCATTTTCTGTTTATTATCTTGAATACTGCTGTAGATACAGAAAATGTGACGGGGCAAAAATTTTAAGAATGGTGAGATCTTCAAAATGTTTGTTGACATCAAGACTGTCAGGCGACATCTTATAGGAGTTATTGCCCTTAAACGACGAATTTTACCATTTTTTGCACTTTTTCATATAATCTCGAAAAATGTAATAGATAGATAGAAAAATGAGCAGCAAGACAAGATCCACAAATAAGTCAACGTGATAAAAATCGTCAGTCGACACCTTATTGAAGTTATTGCCCTTTAATGACGATTTTTTTAAATTTTTGCTAAACTATAATAGATAGATAGAAACTTTAAATAGCAGAAATGATCAGAAAGACAAGATCTACAAATAAGTCGACATGAACGAAATCATTAGTAGACACCTTGTTGAAGTTATTGTCCTTTAATGACGATTATCTCAATTTTTTGCGTTTTGACCTATTATCTTGAAAAGTATAATAGATAAATAAAAACTTTAACAAGGAAAAATGATCAGCAGGACAATTTCTACAAATACGTCAACATTACTGAAATTGTCAGTTAACTCTTAAGAAAGTTATTCCTCTTTAATGATGATTTTTGCTAAAAAGTGGCCATTGTTGACGATGCGGTTAATCAACAAAGGCTCTTTAGAGCCTCTAGTTTTTTTGAAGTCATAATATTATGATGATTTTTTTTAATAATTTGTTCTTACCTTTTTAGACTTCAAGGCTTAAGTCTACAAGGACCACCAGCAGACCAAGATACATTCAGACGTTACAATAGTGAGTACGTGATCCGTGACGATAAACATTCGGAACATTTAATTCATTCGACAAGGAAATTACGAAGTAGTTGGTCAAATATTACTTCCGGTTCAATAATATCTCGTAAAAATAAAAATCATGTCATTAATGGCGATACAACAGACAATTTGCAAGACGTTAGGTTTTTTGCAGAACTGGTAAAACCACTTCAATACCGTTTACGCACACATGAAAAGGAAGAAAAGGAAAAAATACTTTTTCCATCCAAATATGGATTTCATCAACGAAGTCATTCGCCAACGTTTCGGCGACTTCTTGAAGCTACAGAAAAACTTAAAATAATTTCTCAGCACGAAACAGTGAAAACTTTGTTAAAACAAAATGCCAATATCAACGAAAAGAAAGTGGTCTCGCTTATAAAACCGGATCCGGAAATAGTTAAAGAGAAGACAGAATTGTTTGATTCTGTTACACCAGAAACACCAGATGTCACTGCTAGAACTGAAAAGAAGAAGCACACAACATTTATTACGGACGAAGTGGTAGATTATAAAGATAATACTACAATTTCTGACATTCCGGATAATATTACTACAATAAGTGAAGAACCAGAAGAGGAAGATGTAGACGATATAGATAGTGAAAACGATGATGACGAAAAAGAAGATCAGGATAACTCATTTAAAGTAGACTTTAAGGTAGATGAATCGCATGCAGAACTACATTTATTTCTTCCAAAAATTAGCAGTGGTAATAAAAGTGCTAAAACAAATAGGACAGATGAGTTCGATGAAAGTTCGAGTAAAACTGACAGATCTGGTCCGATTGTATTACCCTCGATCAAAGTTGACTCTATTCATCAGATAAAATCATATCAAAATCCGCCGGGTAGAAAACTTAAGCGACAGGATACATTCCGCAAAAAGAAGAAAAAAACAGTTGAAAGGATAAAATCAGCTGCGGATCCCGATAAAAAGGTCAGAGACCATTTGAATGACGTTCATACCTTGATATCTATAGAAGACCATCATTCTTCTCACACTACTGACACTGTGTGTCACTTCGAAAATTGTCCGTACCATAGCTTATTACCTCTGACACAAGAATCAACTTCATAGCATCATATATTATTTGGTTGTGATTATATGTCACTCTGATAGTTTGATTGCACTATAATTTAAGCCATCTATATTACATGTAATTCTCATTGCCTCTTAAATCTGTTCTAAGATAAATTAAAGGTCACAATGTTTTAAACCTGTCACAAATTCCGAAATTGATGTAAACATAAGTACTGCAACAATACACCTTATCGCTATTTGTCCGCCATTACTGGACATCACACAAGTTCCCGTAAAATTTTGACGTCATAATAGAAAATATCTGACGCCACAATGGAAAAGTGATTGTTGTATGACGTCAAAAGTTCGAGCGGGACTGATTCTCGGGTCAAGCGGGATTAGCGATAAGGTGTATACAAATAGTGTTTTATTTAGATACATTAACTTTTTTAAAAAAGTGCCATTGTCGATCGTTACAGCATAGTCTTAAAGCTCTGTGCAAACTCGTATGAATAATCAAAATTCAAGTAGTGAGTTGTTTTAAAATTTTTAATATATATTCTTCCGCTATACCTAACGGAACACCGTTTAAGTGCATAACTAATAAGGCAAACTACAATATAGTAAAGAAGAAAACTTTTAAATAAAATTAACATCGAAGCAAAAATAATGTTACAATTACACCATTTCGTATGCACACCCTTTTATCAGCCATTGGGATTGCAGGTGCATAAGGAAACACAGTAAAAATCTGCTGTATAGGATTGCAAAATCCTCAATATTGCATCGGCAATCAAAATGGCAGACACAAATCAGTTCTACACGAAAGCAAAAACAATTGTTTTAATAGCAAACTGAATAAATATCCTATTGTATCCGCAGTAATGATACCCAGTAATAGGTTTTTATATGTTTAAAGAGAAAAAAAACAGATTATGTCATACTAAACATATACCATAGAGTAGATCAGGACCAACATGTTAAAGTCACATATTTTAAAGCTGTATTAAATTGATTAATAAGATTTTTTTCTTACATTTTCAAATTTTCAAATGTTAGCGAGATGGCAATATATGTATTCTGAATGAAAAATTGTGTCTGATTAAAACCCATTTCATTTTTATAGGGTCGTATGCATCGGTAAGTGTTCACGTGACTGCTCAATCTCAGGACCTGATCACATGTAGCTTCATTTCATTTATTGAATGTAATCGTGGCAGAAGTTTCTTCCAAGCCATGTTTTCACTGCTTACAAATTATCTCACAACTAGACAAACTATCGATTATCAGTCGACAAATGATTCTGAATAGTCTACAAATTCTGGAAACATACGAAAACATTTTTTCTTTTTATTGCGATGGTATGATAATGTTATACTTTTTGTCTTAAATTTGAACTGATGCTTCGAATCTTTTCGATTGAAAGAACTAAATGATAGCGAAAGTGCATGGTCGAAAAATATAATAATAAGTTTTTTCTTAAGTTAAAATGTTGCCTTTTTAATCTGTTGTGCTTTTATCTATTTGTCTATGCATTGTTAAAAAATATTTTCCTACACATGTGATTATGCAAATTGTTATCATTTTGTTTATTAATGTTATGTTTGAAATAAATTCTAATTCATTAACCAGGATTCTTGTTAACAAAGTCGGTTTTTGTAATTTAATAATTATTGTTTGGTTATTGGACTTAAAGTAAATGAAGGAGTTTTCGGAGGATCCCTGAACAAATAATTAAAAGAATCTCGGGGGAAAAAATTTGGAACACGCGATCAACACAAAAAAAAAAGATCCCTTATGCAAACTGAAAGCTAAAATTTATGCAAACTGTCAATTTCCCACAAACATATTACAAAATGAAATTAATGATTTCTGTATCATAATATGGTGAATTGTACCACAAATATAGGAACTTATGGAAGAGGACAAGCAAGCAATAAATGGAACGATGGCGCTTACAGTATGAATAAAAGTAGATGTGGTGTTTACATCTACACCAATGAAACAACCGGACAAAACGACACCAAAACAAAAAAAACATCATATTTTTCACATCATTTATATTTCAAAGGGCAGCAACTACTACAAATTGTTCGATTATCACTGGTTTTCCGACTTTGACAAGATATTGTAAATATAGGCCTCTCTCCAAATTTTATCAAAATCCAAGAAATATATGGACGAAAGCGCTCCTGATGCCTACAGCGGATACAAGGACACATACAGTCTCATATCAGCCCCGCTTCGAATCGAGTCAGGGCGACAAAAACACTAGCTGCACTTACAACAAAAAATTTTGACACTGATAAAAAGATAAGTCGATAGAGCATTTTATAAAAAAAATATAATCAGACAGTCAAACAAAGGACACAACAAAATCTCTCGAAATCTAAACAGAAATCAGATAAATCAAGCATCAACTGATATATGCATGCATGACCCTTCAAACTATTCCAAAGACATATTCAGTATTTTATATCAAGACCAGCAACATGTCAATACCGGAAATCATGTCAGATGTAAACTCTCGTTATGGATGCCTCTGAAAGGGGAAAGAGAGTATTTCAAGCATTGGCGTGAACTGAAAAACCAAAACAAGCTTGGAAAATTACAAAACAAAGAGTGCCAGAAAAAAAAGACCTGGTTTACATCGCCCGTTACGCTTATAAAGTGTAAAAACGTTAACGCAATACCATAAAAGGAAACAAGAAGACCACCATATACAGGAAAGGAAAACAATAGTCACCAAAATATGAGTACACGAACTTGCAATGGCTCATGTAGTCTTATACATGTATCAAATATCATATGTAATCTAATTCTAATAATTTTCACTCACTGAATATTATGTAATTGTAACTAACCAGATCTAGTTTCTTTACAGAAACTGATAAATCACTACTGTTTCTTTACAATTGCTTAAAATTAACATAGAATAATTGAAATATACAAGTTGAACATGGATAATTTACATGCAGTTTAGGATAAATAGCTTCAAGGAGGCCTCGTGTTAATAATTAAACAATCAATTCCCCCACAAGGCTGCAGCTTTAGATTATTAACTACACTTTTAATTTCAATTCAATGCTTAATTACGCGTCTCGCATATCATCATACGTACTATTTATCAGACGAACATTTTCTTGTGAAAATTTTTAAAAAAACCGACTTACACCCAATAAAACACTGTCTTCGTAGGAATTGGTCAAACAACATATTATCCTCATTGAAAAAGTAAATGGTCACCATCGACAGTTGTTTGACCATTAAATACATTTATTCCAGAGATGACGTGACACATATTGGCATGCGTCTTTTACTTACGTCATCATTGTTCGTATTTATAGACAAACTTTTATTAGGAATGCTAAATCATCATAACTTGAGGAAAGACGCATGGTGAGATTTACAAAAAAAACTCCATTTCCCGGAGTAATCACTTTAACCTTCACGCTTTAAGTGTTGTGATCTGTTTTGTTTTGTTTTTTTGAGGGGGCGTTGTTTAACGTCGTAAGTGTTTTACAAGCCTTTTATTTCCTATTTTGCAGAATCGTTGTCCATACATGTATCGAAGCTATTTCATGCACCTTATGCGCATTCTAAAATGTATTCCTCATTAGTGCACCTTAAACCAAATATAAATAGTCACATACTTCTGATGAAGTCATCTGAAGTTAGCAACATTATCTAGAGGGTACACCCAATAATAAGAAAATAGAACAATAACCAAAACCAAAGGAACCTTATAGGACAAGCTATCCTAAATCTATCGACAGAATCCGTCGCGTCATTAATGGTTAAATCAAACGGATAAGATACAACAGGTCGAATCTAGTTTGATGAATTAGATACATCCGGTGTCATATGTAATACCGAGATAATTGTTTTGCTTAACAATTAGACGGTGTTATTTTTGAATATTTTTTATTTCATCTTTGTACTTAGGTTTTATGTTTTAGGGCTCCAAATGGACTTTGTTAAACGTTGAAGAATATTTGTGTAACGCCATAAACCCTCGTTTATTGCATATAATCATCGAAAGCAACGGATTAAACATGTCATGGCCAACACGACGGTTCAGCTATTGGGAAATAAACTGCTTATCCTTCCGTTGCACAATTATGGTAATTTTATTGCTCAGTTTTCAACGGCAAACTTAATGAAAAAAGCTTTCATGTTCATGTAAGATTGATGTTAAAAAAATCATTGGTATTGTTGTATCTTATTAATTCAAATAAAGATTAAAATGGAGCTTTGAGTCCATGGGGTGATTAATCATCAGACACACATATTTATATATTTCAAAGATAAACCTGAAGACTTGAGATTCAGCAACATGACCCCCAAATCAGACACCCCACCCGTTCAAAGGTAAACAAATATATGCATTTTCCTGCAAATAATTTAAAACTATATATGTATTTGACACCTTAAATCTTCATCTGAAAATGAAAACCAGACAGAAAACTCAAAAATACGTGTCGCAATAAAGTTCATTTATATTGATTCCATTCTCGATTTTATTTATTACATTTTTGTTTTCCAAAATAGAGCCTCGATAAATAGACTACTAAATTTACAATATAAATAAACAAAGGTTTTTGTGATACATTCTAATAATTCATTTCTCGTCATTGACGCCTGAAACAAATAAAAAAATGTCACAGTCTTATTGCAGGCAGTAAATGTGAAAATGTGAAACATTTACTAATCTGAATCATTGTGAAAAGAGCGATAACTCTAGACATTTGAAGTAAGAGTTGAAAACTTGAAAAAAATTGAATAAGAGTGATTACCAAAATAATAGGAATACAATAGGTCAACCTATTCTAAATCTATCGATGTAATCCGTCCCGTCATTTATGGTCAAATGCAACGTATAAGGTACAGCAGGTCGAGTCTTGTTCGATAAATTAGATACTATACGCTGTTATTTTCGAATATTGTTGTTTTGACTTTATAATTTTTAAAGTTTTTCGGCTGCCAAATGAACTTTGTTGACTGTTGAAAAATAACTGTGTTACGACGAAAACTCTCGTTTATAACATATCATCATCGAAAGCAACTGGACAACGGATTTAACCTGTCATGACCAACACGACGGTGCAGCTATTGGTCAAGACGTAACATATCCTTTTGTTGCACATATATGTTTATTTAATTGCTCAATTTTTAAAAGCAAATTTAGTGAAAAAAAAGCTTTGTTGTCGTTTGTTTTAGTTGCGGTTCAGTGTTTCTGTT